TTAATGTTGAGAAGATATGGGCCTGGCTAGAGTTGGATTACCGGATCAAATGATAGTGTTTGTTTTCTCAGGTAATTATGCATATGATGCTGCTTTCTGGAATTCTAACATACGAGGAAGGGGAAAAACTATAAAGAGATGATTGGACTGTACATAGGGTAGTCATATGATGTAAATGACAGGACTTTGGTCAACAACACCACATGTGACACAAAAGACCAAAACATTGGTTTAATGACATTTCCATATCAACAGTTACTAGTTACTACAGTTAGTGATGAGGGAAAAGTAGAAACCATGGTGAGTCCATGTAAATACAGTATAATAACCATTTGGAATATGTCCAAGCACTAAACCAACAGCAAGCCCGTAGAGAATGGATTTTCCATCTATCTAGGTATAATTGTCAAACCCATCATAGCAGATGTGTGACCAATGAGTTGAAAAACTGGAAACACTTTCGATGATACTGTCTATCTGATCATGTTCCATTCCACGCATGCCTGGATCTTTGATTACGAAATAATTATTCATTGAAAGAATTGGATTTATTTCATGATCAGAAACATCGGAAAGATTGCGCAGTCAAAAATATTGACTATTTTTTAAAAGCTGGAATCCTTAATTGGTGGAACCGCCACATCCGTTTGATATATTACAACAACAAATAAGTTACTGCAAACAATGAACACTTTTTTCGCCTCGAACATCACGCGCGATAGTATTCGTGACAGAACAGCAGAATATGTACACTTTTTTTTTTTTTACCACGCTTACCGCGCTCCTCTCCTCCATTACATCAATTAAACAAAAACAATAACAAACGCGCTGGCGCTGCCGTGAACCTGCCGCTGTTTCCCCAGATGCGGATTCAATCTCTAACTGGTGCAGGCTAATTCAATGCCTCACATACACAATATAATATAGGTCTATATCTTTTCTGCCAAATATCACTGTTGTCATCTCCACCGTCTTTTTACAGGGTTATGTTGTGTTCAGTGGAGGCTGCTGAGGGGGGGACGGGCTCATAATAATGACTGGAATGGAGCAAAATGGAATGGCATCAAACACATGGAAACCATGTGTTTTATGTATTTGATACCATTCCATTTATTCCACTCCAGCCATTATCACGAGCCCGTCCTCCCCAATTAAGGTGCCACCATCCTCCTGGGGTTGTGTTCCTCTCAGGGCTACAGACATAGACAGGGTCTTAGGGAATCATGGCACTGAACACGTCCACAGGACACAGGGGCTTGGAGCCAAGCGCCTGTCTATTTCTGATGCTGATAGGCAGTACTTTAATAATAGCATGTTAGTATTTCCCTGTATAAACCAGGCAGGGTGTCATTCATTAACAAAGATGATTATGTGAATTTAAAGGGGTGGGGAGACGTTAATAGTGGGCCACAAAGTATTAACCAATTACAGGGAAATGTATGTTCTTGTAATGATTGGAAATTGAAGGGTTTTTGTAATGCATGTTCCTGTAACAATTGAAGTGAAATTTTTTTTTTTTTAATGTTTATAATTAAGCAATAAGGCCAGAGGGGGTGTGGTATATGGCCAATATACCACGGCTTAGGGCTGTTTCTATGCATGACGCAATGCGGAGTGACTGGATACAGCACTTAGCCGTGGTACATTGGCCATATACCACAAACCTCAAGGTGCTTTAGCGCTATTATAAACAGTAAATAGGTCATTTGGCTCCGTGTAGCTCAGTTGGTAGAGCATGGTGTTTGCAACGCCAAGGTTGTGGGTTCGATTCCCACGGGGGGCCAGTATGAAAAAATGTATGCACTCACTAACTGTAAGTCGCTCTGGATAAGAGCGTCTGCTAAATGACTAAAATGTAAAATGTAAATGTAATTTTGTGTCATACCCGTGGTATATTTAAGCAATAAGGCCCGAGGGGGTGTGGTATATGGCCAATATACCACGGCTAAGGGCTGTATCCAGGCACTCCGCATTGAGTGCCTGGATACAGCCCTCAAGAACAGCCCTTAGCCGTGGTATATTGGCCATATACCACACCCCCTCGGGCCTTATTGCTTAATTAACTAATGTCCAAGTAATGACCATGGTGATTAGAAATTATTAGAATGTCTGTCAAAGGTTTTAGCTGATTGCAAATTAATGTTCCTGTGATCTTGATAATGATTGTAACTGAATGCTTGTGCAATGACCGTAGGAAATGGATGTCCATCCAGCGCTCTCACATGTAATGTTCGAGCTGAAGGAGCGATACAGAGCTTGGCACACATGGGTGCACGTGCAGCCTAATTGGGCTCTCCTACGCGGGGGGGGAGACCCACAATGGTGGAGGGGCTTTGTCTTGGGAACATTAAACAGTCAAGGAGAAGAAGGACATGGGCAATTAGAGAGGAAGTGGACTGCATGAGCGCACATGATCCCCCCCCCCCTAACATCTCCATCACTGCCGCCATGACAACACAAAGACACCTGTGGGCCCGGTCATGAAAAGTAAAGAAGGGTATGGGGTGGATGAGGGCTAAGGCACAATCAGAGGACTCATCTGTGATGGAGAGGAGCACAGGAATATAACATTTCCCTGAGAGCAACAGCAAGACAGGGAGAACGAGTGTCTTGCCTGGTGATGGGACTTTGGAAGCTTTAGGACAGATTGTACTATATACTATGTACAGCACTACAAGGATTCCCCCCATTACGCCCACGTCACATGGGAAGAAGGAGGTACGCTAATGAATGCAGTGGAAGATAGGCCTATTTACTGGAAATTGGTTGTTCTGGATACTTGACATTCTCACAAATGAGCCCACAAATGTCTCAGGTCATGTCAGAGTGGACAGAACATCGTGAATGAATAAGAATGCTAGAACACTGATTACAATTCCAGAGTTGTGAGTGCATGCAGCCCTGCAGTATACCAGTGCATGGCAGTCTTGGAACATAGATTGTATAGATTGTATTTCCCAGGCTGCTCTGATCTGCTCTGCTGCCTATCACACAGCCAGTGGTCCAGAGAAGATAAAGGAGATTGGGGACACACCGCGGTGAGGAGTCCTTCCCTGGAGCTCAAGATGGTTCCACGCTATCACTAGCCTGACGAGGCAGGGACAGTCACAGTCCGTCAAACGCTGCAGATCCCAGGGGAAATTTAAGAAGGAAATGGGCTCCCTTCTTTAAAGCATCTGGCTCTCACACAGGAGTGACATGATTCAGTACATATCACTCACAGGCTATGTAATGCTTTAGCCTACACCTAATTGGATGCTGAGGAAAGATAATGTATTAAAGATTGAGGCAATAAGACACATTCAATTCAGCAAACAACACATTTCTTTTTCTCTGTGAAAATAAGTTTTATGACTATATTGGGATTAGTATTCCACAGACTTTGCCGCTCATAATCATTCCGTTAGTAGTGCCATCGAATAACAATCCCCACTACTCCATATCTACTTTCTTCCCTCCTTCCGTAATTCCCACACCCCTTCGTTCCTCTTTTCCTCCTTCTACCTTCCTCATCTCACGGGGGGTCATCATGCAGTAAGACGTCCCTCTCATCAGGTACAGTTTCCTCCTGGTAATAACGCAGTAGTGGCATCTCCCTCAGAATGCATTGAGGGCTTTTGAAATGTTATCAAATGTCATCAGAGCAGACCTTATGGCTGTAGAGTTGTGTCTCGTAATAGAATGCTGGAAGTTTCACTCAACAGCAACACAGAACCCTGGTGTGGAAAGGTCAACTGCAATTAGTTCCTGTGAACACATACCTGTACATGTAATTTACATTGACTGTCCAAAAGAAATACATGAATAGGTGTTGTGATGAAGTTAATCTGATATAATATTCAGCGTGTTGTGATGAAGTTAATCTGATATAATATTCAGCGTGTTGTGATTAAGTTAATCTGATATAATATTCAGCGTGTTGTGATGAAGTTAATCTGATATAATATTCAGCTCACTAATTGGCTTCTTAAATAACCAGGCCAACACTGCAAAAGGGTTTATTTATGTCACGCTAATCATCTATGTCATTCATTATTATCGTGACCTATAGACATTACCATGATGGTCATGTGAGGTGAATGGTTTATTTAACCAGGAGGACCATAGCAAACCAGACAAGCTCTCCTTGCACTGACAAATAGTTGTTAATGTAGAAGAAAATAACAAGTATGAGTCATAAAGTGAGACATCATCATTTGATTCAAAATGTATTATCAACACGTTTAGATGTGGACTGAGAGACTTTAACCATGAGGAAATACTGTACATAGCAAGCAGCAAGCTATAGCCTACTTGATGGAATATTTTGCTGTTGTAATTTACTGTCAAACACTTTCTATTGAATTGAAGTCTAAAGAGACATTGTAATCACTACCCAAGGTGGATTTACTGTATTTTTTATTGTGCACATAAACACAAAATAAGATATCAAGATGATCAGGCAGCTCTTTCATCTGTGAGCTAACGTTACGTGAGTCTGCTTTGAATGATATTCAGACTGCTGTTCACACCGAATGTCCTCTGCTCCACTTTTCCAGTAGCTCTTGTTTATACACTTTCCGATATCACCTCGTTTTTCCCTCCCGAATCTGTCCAGTACTCACATTTGCATGCAGACCAGTGATTGGCCGCTCGTATCTTACACCTCAATAGACAGCCGTGTGCTGATTGGCTCCTGCCAGAAGAGGGCATGGAATCCCTGCGACCAAAAACACACATAAAAGGGAACGTGGAAAACCACAGAGGCAGACAAGCGTCTACCTACTACAAGAGAACTTTGAGCACTATCAGAGACCTTCTGCTAGAATCTGTGTACAGAAATCTCAGTCAATCTACACTCAGTGTGCAATTGCGCAGCTGTTTCTATAGACAGCAACTTCACCAGAAGGCACAAGAGTTTGACTGGTCTACCTGTCTACTGACAGAGACTGTCAGTGACTGAGCGGTCAGTTGAAAGACCCTTTTAGAAGCATATCGTCATCCAGACAAAAAGCAGCATCATGTCTCTAGAGGTGAAGGAAAAGACCCAGGTGAGGTTGGTGTTTCTGGGGGCGGCCGGGGTGGGCAAGACGGCCCTGATCCGACGCTTCCTCCAGGATACCTTCGAGCCCAAGCACCGGCGCACCGTGGAGGAGATGCACAGCAAGGAGTACGACATTGGCGGCTCTAAGGTCACTGTGGAGATCCTGGACACCAGCGGCAGCTACTCCTTCCCTGCCATGCGCAAGCTCTCCATCCAGAACAGCGATGCCTTCGCCCTGGTCTACGCGGTCGATGACGCAGAGTCGCTGGAGGCCGTCAAGAGCCTCCGCGACGAGATCCTGGAGGTCAAGGAGGACAAGCACATCCCGATCGTGGTGGTGGGCAACAAAGCAGACCGAGCAGGAAGCGACCGGCAGGTGGCAGTTGATGACGTACTGTCAACAGTGGAGCTAGACTGGAACAACAGCCACGTGGAGACGTCGGCCAAGGAGAACGACAACGTGATGGAGGTGTTCAGGGAGCTGCTGCAGCAGACCAACCTGCCCAGCCGGCTGAGCCCTGCTCTGAGGCACCGCAGGGAGACCTTCCCCAAAGGAGACCCCAAGTGCATCCGGCCACCCATGAACAAGACCAACTCCTGCATCATCTCCTAATGGGGCAGGTTGAAGTAGAAAGAGTGAGAGAGAGGGGGAAAGGGTGTGGGCTAGTACACCGATTAAAGTGCTTCTGCACAAGAGGGAGAGGGAAACGTGATAATGTATGGTCTGAAAAGGTTGAGGTGGAGGACTGCCAGTGTGCTGAAACGGAACTGAACTCACAAACAATCTTGATTCCACTTCTGCTTCCCTCGTGCAAGCGATGGTGTTGAAATGGGAAGAGAACGGGCGAGAATGAATGGTTATGAAATAGGACTTGGTCCAACTAATGTAAACATTGTAAGGTCGGGAGATAAGGGTGAAGAGGAGGCAAAGACGTTCAACTGCTCAATTGTTTACTTAATGTAATGTGTTGCTGCTTGTTTGGTTAACAGGCTGCTGCTGTTTCAGTTTAGATCAATGTATAGCTTTTGCATTCGATTGATGATAATTTTGCAATGTGCGTTTGACATTCACTTGCAATAAGACATTTGACTGTTGCAAACATACAAGAAGAGTATTTATTGACTGGGGTTTGTGCAAAGTTAATGGTTTGATGTAAAACACCATCTATTCAGTTGGAAATTCACGTGCAGCACAGCATTATCGTCTACAAAAGACTCGCTTGTACGTTTTTTTTTTTTTACATTGATTTGCTATTAAGCATGACTTGATTAATGTGTGTAAAAAGTAGTGACATGTAAATGTCTACTACATACGTTTTATTCTAAACATTTTTTATTATTATGTTTTTTAAATTCATGATTTATACATTAGACTGCTTTACAAGTGTCCATTTTACAATGGAATGTTTACCCCAAATAGCTAAATAAAAAGTACACAAATAAAAAAAGCTATGATCTCCTTTAATAATTAACTGCATTGTGAATATGAGAGACGTATTTGCAGGCTCAATGGAGAATGAACAATGCAGACACAAACTGGAGGATTGAAATGGATATCACATACATCAGCCATCACACACGTTCATCAAATAGCAACGGTCTATCATCATGACCCCAATGGATGTGCAGGTGCACCATGATGTGGACACCGTCTACTACCTGTAGTCTGGTTCAGGTAACAACACATTTCCAAAAACAAACTAGCCAGGCCCACTACTAGTAAAAGCATGAATAAAAGTTTGCACTGCAGGATAGAGCCTAGGCCAAGGATGGGCAACTTTGATCGGGGGGGGGACCACAACAAAAATCTGAACTCATCATGAGGGGCCGCAGTGGCCCACGGGTCTGCATATCCACATCCATACTCACACATGCAGTCAGAGCATGGATGTGGGGGCCCTAAGCAACATTTAGTTTTTTGGGTGGGTGGGGGGAAATTGATCACCGGACCTACAAAAGAGCTGCCATTTTCCCATCCCTGGCATAGGGTATAGCCTACAGTGCAAACTTTTATTCATGCTTTTACTAGTAGTGGGCCTGGCTAGTTTGTTTTTGGAAAATATGTTGTTAAAAAAGGCTGAAGGGATATTCCGCCAAAATGTTGACAAACAAGAGTATTTTAAACCACCACCAGTTCAAGCTTAAAGATGACTATGCTGGCGTTATCAGGCTACCAGGAATACAATTGAATAACATTAAGCCTAAACCTTCATTTCTAATTGTAAAGAATAAGAAAGGCTTATAAAAATGACAGATGTGCCATACCGTGATTCAGTTCACACAGCCCCACTTCTTGGTCCAGAAAAGGCATCGAACTAAATTGTGCTGGCTGTATTATAGTCCAACGTCGCCCTCTAACGACAGTTGTCTTTCACTGCGTCCCCCTTCATAAAATATTTATCAACTTTATAACCATAAATCATTGCATTTCTTTATATTACTGTATTTAATCAGGCTTCCTTTGAGACATTGCTTATCGGTACTCGCGTTTCTTTTTTCCCCCTTTTCCCAATCCTATCGTCTCCCTCTCTTTTGTTAACTCAACTTTCAAATTTCCACCTCATAATTCTTCACACCTCCCCCTGTCCCTATATCCCCCCTACTCCTTCCCCGTCGTCACGTTCAAGCTTTTCCTTCCTTTCCAGGAGTCTCACTCCCGGGGCACCCATCTCAACCTCTGTTTCCACTCCCGACTTTTTACATATCTATATTGGCATACTTTATCGCTTCGTCGTCAATACGTGCCTCATATCGGCTGTCCACGCTCCCCTGACTACGTGCGTCCGTTATGGGCTCTAAGGATTCAGCCCCCTTTTTGGTCGTCGTCACTACTTGTTCAGTTATTCACCCAGCCCTTCTTCTTTCTTCCGGACTCTCCTACAATTATCTTTCTAATTCTTTGAACGTCGTTCCAACATCCATCTCTGTTTATTTAGTTACCTCGATCCGTTTGCTCCTCCTCTCACATCTTGACCAAAATGTTGCTTAATTAGTTGCACCAGCTGTGAGCAGTCTAGGCAGTCTAGGTATTTAGGACAATATATTGCACTTGACTGATATCTTGGGACCTTTTTACTTTACAAAGCATATGCCTTACAAAGTATTGTATTTCTGTCTTGTTTTGATAGCCTTGCACAATAAATCAAATACAAGCCCATTGTTTTGTTCATTGTAAATGTGCATATTAGGAATGTTAAAAACACAAATAAATATGTATGCAGATTTTCCCTGTATGTCATGAACACAGACAACACGGTCACAGCTTCCAACATACAAGTGAAGTACAGTAAAAACACACTGTCTCCACCAATAGCTGTGGTTGGTCCCTGTGCTTCCCCCTGTCCCCATCAGATGCATTGTTTCCTGTCTCATATGAGGAAGTGGCCTGATGAACGTTAGGCCTCTAGTTCCTCTTTCTGTCCAGTTAAAACCTTCTTCCGTACTCTCCCCCTATTCATTCACAGAATACACGACTGGAGAAGACAGGTCTATATACACAAAGTCAAACAGGTACGTTGGCCTTTAAGTCACAATAATGTTATTCAATGACAAATTACTGAGGCGTTTTAATTGTTATAATCCCTAAAATTGGTTCTCATGTGCAATAATTGTCTGTGATGAGTGATAACAATGCAGTAAATGAAGACCTATAGCCGACTGTATTGAAATGACTTGGTTTATTTTGTAGAGAATCTAAATAAGTTAAAAGGACAGTGTCCTCAGTTCAGATGGATGTCCAGTGTCTATAGTTGTCTCTGCCCCTAGACTTGGTCAAAGCTCCTCAGCAGTTGTTTAAGAGAATCCTGAGGCGTTTAGAACAAGTTCAGGGTCCTGGACTCTTTTTGACGACTATAATGCATCTTAAGTTAAAACATTTGCTATAAAATATGTGATGTGTTCTGTGAAGACAGATAAACAAGCTGGTTCAGACAATACACCAATTGTCTTAATATACTGCTTGCATGACATAGTTAGCAGGTGCCGTTTGACTCCGTGTTCTAGCCCATAGTGAACTGTGGTCTTTCTATTGTTAGCAATATACCGTAGTTGCTATTAATGCTATATCCTCAGACAAGCATAAGTGAAATTAGGAGGTGATATCACTTGTACACGTGGCAAAAAATATATAACTATACAAAATATACATCCTCACTTCTTTAACAGACTAGTTGCCTAATAGATCCATGCACTTGCCTCATTGCCATACATTTAAGGTAGTACCACTTGCTTTCATAACGATGACATGGTGCACATGGAAAACACAGACAAGCTTCATTTGAATTTATAGAGGAACCCAGAACCAATATGTTACACACGCAACCAAAACCACCGTCAACATTGAGAGAGACAACATTTCCATTGTGTCATTGAGTGTCCGGTAGACCAGAAAAGATGAGAAGTAGGCCTATTGAATAGGCAGGCAGAAAGAGGCAATAACTGACAGAGCTATTCAGCTTGACCCTTCAACATTATCTCGACAGGTGTAAGAGCATGTTGTATTTCATTCCACTGATGGTAAACACTTAGCTGGGAGACAAAGAGAAGCACACAATAGCTAGAAACAGAACAGGTAAACTCAATGCAGCTCTGCAGAACATAGAGCCAGTTCTTCACATTCAGACCGTTGTTTGCTCACGACAGACTTCAACAGAAAACAAGCTTCAAAAGGAACAAGAGAGAGGAAGAGATTATCGCTACACATGAAAAGATGTAAGAGCAGATCAAAGGCTTAGCCTTGTCTACTTCCGTGTGGTTAATGGGTTCAGTAAAGTCCTTCATATGCATATTCCCTGTTCTAATCTACGAGCAAATGGAAAACAAATCCCCATGAAAACAGAGTAGTCTTCTTTGAAAGCTGATAGACTGAGGTCCTCTGATTTGTCTATCAGTAATTTGCAAAGTGACAGATGAATTAACCCATTATATTTTTCCGTGCAGAAAACAGACTGTGTAAGTGTCTATTCTCGTCTGTTTTCAGTTAGAGGTATCGGTATCTGTGACTAAAATAGGCATTGCCACTTGTTACAATACTGCGCTATAGTTCAATGGCTGCGAAGGGTTTTGGGCCATAGGTAAGCATGTAACTACAAGCTAATTCAGTAACCGTTCTGACTCAGTAACCTTTCAAAACAGAATAACCATGTACCTGTCTTGTTTAAATATTTGTCAGAGTACAATATTGGAGTTCAATGGATCACGAATACATATTCATCCAAAAGGCTTTATTAACCAAATGCTATCCTGCAGTGAACACTGAAAAGTTGCATACAATACACACACTGTAGGATTCAATTAAATTAATCCAAGATATATCGGTGCTGTTCGTGCTTTCTGAGAGTCTATATGGGTGATGTTTATTTACCATGTACATAGTGTAGCAGAGTACAGTAAAGGACTAGTGGTATGCATGAACAGTAGACATTAAGAGACATTGAGAATGCAAGAAAAAAAGAAACATAGGAAGTCAACTAGAATGAAAAGAAACAAGTGCCTATGTAACAGAGTTGAACATTCTTGGTCTCATTGTGTGTGTACACTGTATTTGTGCGTGTAGCTCAGTCATCTACTGTGATGTTACGGAACAGGTAAGCCATGGACTCTCCGTTGTGGATGCGTCGGATGGCCTCGGCCAGGATCATACTGACGTCCACTGTCTTGATCTTGGGACACTGGAGCTTCTGGACCTCATGAGGGACTGTATTGGTTACCACCACCTGGGGAGGGGCACAATGACACAAAATGGAGAGCCAGGTTACAGCAGGGACTATGTTTAAGAATGCCCTCTGAATTATTCAGCCCCCATTGGAAAACAGCAGTGTATTCTAAGGGTTTTTTGAGTATGCATTGCATATAACTGTATTTGGGTATCGGTTTGTGCACTTACCTTTTTAAGAAAGCATAGATTTGTTTGACTGATCCGGCAAATAGACATAATTCCAATCTTGAGCTGCTTCACATATCGGAGCAGCAGACTACTTACAATAATTGTCAGTTGTGTTGATGTTAGAAAAGACATCCATCTTGCGCTTAATAAAAACCTGTGAGTACGGCTTGTGTCCTTTGTCTTACCTCATCGATGGCGGACTCCTCTATGAGCCGTGGGGCCTCTGCTGAGAGCAGGCCGTGTGTCGCCATAATGTAGATCTTATAGGCCCCTCTCTCTTTCAGAATCTCAGCGGCCGCCACAAAGTCCTCCACGTCGTCTATGATGTCATCCTGAGAGAGGGAAACGACAAGAAAGGAAGGACTTAGACTCTAATAACTGTTGTTATTTTGCTCTAACTAAATAAACCACTTGCGCTGTATCATACAATATGTCCAAATACATCTTACATGAGGACTTCCTCAGAACAGTGAGAGTGAAACTTCAATAGTTTATATAACACTTTAATCTTTCTTATTAGCAATAGCTTGGACAATGCAGTTTTTTGTCCCATAGGGGTTAAAGTTGAATAGAATTGAGAAAGACGATCAAATTCTTACAACAATGATAGCGATGCGGCCTCCCACATCTCCCACTACAGTTATAGGTGGTTTCTCCTTGGCCATCATTACTGAAAGAGAAAAAGAGAGAGGTTTATCATTACTTTCAAAACAGTGGTGCTGAGAAAAAAATGCATTAAAGTTATTGGGAGAGGAGATTGAGTAAGAAGGGATCAAGTTCAACACCTGTAAAAATTATGCAAGACAGCTCTAACTCAATGTCCACAGACTGCCACAACCACTACAGTATAATCCTGAAAAGTCAATATTTTGACAAAGGGACAACTACAGTGGGGGGAAAAAGTATTTAGTCAGCCACCAATTGTGCAAGTTCTCCCACATAAAAAGATGAGAGAGGCCTGTAATTTTCATCATAGGTACACGTCAACTATGACAGACAAAATGAGAATTTTCTTTCTCCAGAAAATCACATTGTAGGATTTTTAATGAATTTATTTGCAAATGATGGTGGAAAATAAGTATTTGGTCAATAACAAAAGTTTCTCAATACTTTGTCATATACCCTTTGTTGGCAATGACACAGGTCAAACGTTTTCTGTAAGTCTTCACAAGGTTTTCACACACTGTTGCTGGTATTTTGGCCCATTCCTCCATGCAGATCTCTTCTAGAGCAGTGATGTTTTGGGGCTGTCGCTGGGCAACACAGACTTTCAACTCCCTCCAAAGATTTTCTATGGGGTTGAGATCTGGAGACTGGCTAGGCCACTCCAGGACCTTGAAATGCTTCTTACGAAGCCACTCCTTCGTTGCCCGGGCGGTGTGTTTGGGATCATTGTCATGCTGAAAGACCCAGCCACGTTTCATCTTCAATGCCCTTGCTGATGGAAGGAGGTTTTCACTCAAAATCTCACGATACATGGCCCCATTCATTCTTTCCTTTACACGGATCAGTCGTCCTGGTCCCTTTGCAGAAAAACAGCCCCAAAGCATGATGTTTCCACCCCCATGCTTCACAGTAGGTATGGTGTTCTTTGGATGCAACTCAGCATTCTTTGTCCTCCAAACACAACGAGTTGAGTTTTTACCAAAAAGTTATATTTTGGTTTCATCTGACCATATGACATTCTCCCAATCCTCTTCTGGATCATCCAAATGCACTCTAGCAAACTTCAGACGGGCCTGGACATGTACTGGCTTAAGCAGGGGGACACGTCTGGCACTGCAGGATTTGAGTCCCTGGCGGCGTAGTGTGTTACTGATGGTAGGCTTTGTTACTTTGGCCCCAGCTCTCTGCAGGTCATTCACTAGGTCCCCCTGTGTGGTTCTGGGATTTTTTCTCACCGTTCTTGTGATCATTTTGACCCCACGGGGTGAGATCTTGCGTGGAGCCCCATATCGAGGGAGATTATCAGTGGTCTTGTATGTCTTCCATTTCCTAATAATTGCTCCCACAGTTGATTTCTTCAAACCAAGCTGCTTACCTATTGCAGATTCAGTCTTCCCAGCCTGGTGCAGGTCTACAATTTTGTTTCTGGTGTCCTTTGACAGCTCTTTGGTCTTGGCCATAGTGGAGTTTGGAGTGTGACTGTTTGAGGTTGTGGGCAGGTGTCTTTTATACTGATAACAAGTTCAAACATGTTCCATTAATACAGATAACGAGTGGAGGTTCAGAGGAGCCTCTTAAAGAAGAAGTTACAGGTCTGTGAGAGCCAGAAATCTTGCTTGTTTGTAGGTGACCAAATACTTATTTTCCACCATCATTTGCAAATAAATTCATTAAAAATCCTACAATGTGATTTTCTGGAGAAAAGAAATTCTCAATTTGTCTGTCATAGTTGACGTGTACCTATGATGAAAATTACAGGCCTCTCTCATCTTTTTAAGTGGGAGAACTTGCACAATTGGTGGCTGACTAAATACTTTTTTTCCCCACTGTAGGTTAAATTACCCCATTTAGGTCATTATAATTTTTGATTTGGTGTAAGTATAGGGCAGCTTCAGGCATATTGTGATGGTAGCAACACATGGCTCATGTGTATAGAGCTGTCTTCCTTCCCACAAATAAAACATCCGGTTTGGGATTTAGGGATCCACACAGCAACCCCATGCCAAATCATAACCAACTTCAAACCAGTTTCCTCATCATCAGCCCAGAGGTGTCCAACCAAATGTCTGCATATTTAAAAACTCTCAGGGTTGAATCATGAGGCTCTACTTGGAACTCAGAGGTGGACATTAGCAACAAAATTATTTTGTTAAAATAAATAGATTTTTAAGGCTTGGGGGAGGGGGAGGGGGTTGAGTTTTTAAATAAACTACAATCATACCGTTGCTGAATCACCAAGATAGCACAAAAAATTCTAAACTAGGAATTGATCAAGAAAAAGGATGCAGGGGAACCCAACCAAGCTTGTCATCATGCCTCATTCGGCCTCTGAGGTGCTTGCAACGTTTCCTTCATCTCCATTGGAGTTAGAGACATACAGTTGAAGTCGGATGTTTACATACACCTTAGCCAAATACATTTAAACTCAGTTTTTCACAATTCCTGACATTTAATCCTAGTAAAAATTCCCTGTCTTAGGTCAGTTAGGATCACCACTTTATTTTAAGAATGTGAAATGTCAGAATAATAGTAGAGAGAATTATTTATTTCAGCTTTTATTTCTTTCATCACATTCCCAAGGGGTCAGAAGTTTACATACACTCAATTAATATTTTAGTAGCATTGCCTTTAAATTGTTTAACTTGGGTCAAACGTTTCGGGTAGCCTTCCACAAGCTTCCCACAATAAGTTGGGTGAATTTTGGCCCATTCCTCCTGACAGAGCTGGTGTAACTGAGTCAGGTTTGTAGGCCTCCTTGCTCGCACACACTTTTTCAGTTCTGCCCACACATTTTCTATAGGATTGAGGTCAGGGCTTTGTGATGGCCACTCCAATACCTTGACTTTGTTGTCCTTAAGCCATTTTGCCACAACATTGTCCATTTGGAAGAGCCATTTGCAACCAAGCTTTAACTTCCTGACTGATGTCTTGAGATGTTGCTTCAATATATCCACATAATTTTCCTCCCTCATGATGCCATCTATTTTGTGAAGTGCACCAGTCCCTCCTGCAGCAAAGCACCCCCACAGCATGATGCTGCCACCCCCGTGCTTCACGGTTGGGATGGTGTTCTTCGGCTTGCAAGCCACCCTCCAAACATAACGATGGTCATTATGGCCAAACAGTTCTATTTTTGTTTCATCAGACCAGAGGACATTTCTCCAAAAAGTATGATCTTTGTCCCCATGTGCAGTTGCAAACCGTAGTCTGGTTTTTTTATGGCAGTTTTGGAGCAGTGGCTTCTTCCTTGTTGAGCGGCCTTTCAAGTTATGCCGATATAGGACTCGTTTTACTGTGGATATAGATACTTTTGTACCCGTTTCCTCCAGCATCTTCACAAGGTCCTTTGCTGTTGTTCTGGGATTGATTTGCACTTTTCACACCAAAGTACGTTCATCTCTAGGAGACAGAACGCGTCTCCTTCCTGAGCGGTATGATGGCTGCGTGGTCCCATGTTGTTTATACTTGCGTACTATTGTTTGTACAGAAGAATGTGGTACCTTCAGGCATTTGGAAATTGCTCCCAAGGATGAACCAGACTTGTGGAGGTCTACAATCTTTTTTCTGAGGTCTTGGCTGATTTCATTTGATTTTCCCATGATGTCAAGCAAAGAGGCACTGAGTTTGAAGGTAGGCCTTGAAATACATCCACAGGTACACCTCCAATTGACTCAAATGATGTCAATTAGCCTATCAGAAGCTTCTAAAGCAATGACATCATTTTCTGAAATCTTCCAAGCTGTTTAAAGGCACAGTCAACTTAGTGTATGTAAACTTCTGACCCACTGGAATTGTGATACAGTGAATTAATCTGTCTGTAAACAATTGTTGGAAAAATTACTTGTGTCATGCACAAATAAGATGTCAGAAGAACCGACTTGCCAAAACTATAGTTTGTTAACAAGAAATTTGTGGAGTAGTTGAAAAACGAGTTTTAATGACTCCAACCTAAGTGTATTTAAACTTCCGACTTCAACTGTAGTTACATTTCCCAAACGGCATAACATTTATGGGGCAATGATTGGCCCCATAAAATTGATGCCCATCACCAACCTGGCAGTGGAATACAGTAAGTGCCCTCTGGTAAGGCATTTGCATTAGTAGCCATTTTGTTGGTTGCTTTAAAAGGGGTCAAAAGTCAGATAAATGCTACATTTGAGGATGAGAGGCATGTTGAAGGGAATGTTGACAAGCCACATGGTTTCAAACTGGTATTAATTGTAGTGCATCTCCAAAGTATACATGGGAAGAGCCATGTATTTTTCCATGTTGCTTGCATGAATGCATCCAGAAGATTCTTATTGCTATCGGCAGGGTTGAATGTGATGATTTTATTACCATTTTGGAAATTCACAGTTAATTGTGTAATAGACAAAAGGCATGTAATGTCAAAAATGTATCAAGTGAGGAATACCGTACAATGTAAGCTTGGGAATATATGAAAGACCGTGACACCAATTTGAGGTAAAGAAATCTGCTGTTTTATAGATATCTTGTATCAGTAATCATACCAAATTTGGTGACAGCCAACAGTATAAACCAGGGGTGTCTTCGGTCTTCACTGAGGTCCGGAGGGCAGCACAAAAATAAAAAAATTGTCCTCTCATTTCCGATGCTCCCCGACTGAATAGCTTTCATTTCGATGACTGCTAGCAGGCTGAGTGAAAAGTGCCAAGACTATAATTGTAGGATTATCATTTCTACACATTCGATTTGGTTTTAGTCATTTCAATGTCGACAGATATCTTTTCCACTGATTTTTTATTTTATTTTTACTCAAACCCCCGCGTCTGTTTGACCCCCACCCCCCCCCGTCTAAACACTTAACTGAGATTTTCAAAAGGGGAATTTAGAAATTCAGTCCTAGTAGAAATGGAAAGTCCCTCAGTAGACCTCAACATTACATGCAGGCAGGTATAAGGCCATCGCAGATAGTATTGCAGGATGGGGGTTAGAGGAAGAGAGAGTGGAGCGTGACGGTCGTACTTGGGAGCTCTATGCCTGGGAATGGAGCCTGGTGCCTCCCCGTGTCTTCAAAAGATAAATGGTATATGTTAACACTGTCATATACAGAGAAATATAAAATAGACAGACAGACAAAGGCAGCATACTGACAGACAACTCCAGAACTTAAGACAGGCTTTCTGGTCCTATTTATCCAAGGAATACAATAAAATAAGGTTTAATATAAAGATTTAAAGGTGTCACTTTGCTCCGTATCTGAATTTAGCTGCTGTTTTGATAAAGGGAGACCAACCCTGTTCCTGTATAAAGGAGCGGAGAAATGGAGAGAAGTACGAGAGAAAAGAAATAGTCACTGTATAAAAGGAGGGGGGAAAAAAGAGGGTGAGAAGAGAAATCCAGAGGCTGTGTGGAGGAGAGGGGAATGAAGAGGAGGGTAGAGGGGATGCCTGTTATTGCCTGCAGTATTTCTCAGGCATCTGCAGTAGTGTCAGGCTCCTGAGAAGGAGTGCTTTGCTGCTGAACCAACACATACTACAGCCCTGACTGGCTGGACACTCCAGTGGTACATGGTCAGCATGAGGACAATGTGTGGAGGTCCTCTTTGCTACTGGTGCCTTAGGGCATTCAGGGCGGGATATTTAATAATTAAATAACTTTCTCTGGGTTATGGGTTGTTATTTGGACAGATTACCACTTTTCCAGTCCATAAATGTAAAATACAGTGTTCTCTTTTCTGTAAATACTGTTCCATTAGATCTCTATAAAGCCTCACTTTGACCCAATGCCATGTTTTACAGTGTCTCTATAAATGGATAGGATCAGAGTCTGGGTGTACGTGCATTCACAAGTGAATGCATGCTACACGGGAGACTCATCCCAGTGCCGTCTACTCCCCATAAGCAGTGGGGGTTTAACCCTGCGGCTCAGGCTCATTAACTCTCCATGGATTCATCTGATAGAGTCAGGGCTCAACTCATCCTGTCCTGACACTAGTGGTAAACAAGCACTGTCTGCTGACTAGGCAGATTACTACATACATGAGGAGAGCAACACCTCAAATATGTTTGCTGAATATGCTTTGTAGTCTGTGGGTGATGGACAGGTTGAAGAGCAGTAACACTGATTTGTGTGTGTTAGGGTCAAAGGCAGGGGTATTTTCTAGTGGTTGTGTGTGTGTGTGTGTGTGTGTGTGTGTGTGTGTGTGTACACGCATATGTGTGTCAGGGGTATCTTACATGGCAGCTCCAGACCAGGGTGGCCAGAGGTGGTGCGTCCTGAAGACAGTGGAGGGGGAGAGTGTCTGCCATCGGCCATGTCAGACTCTGAACACTGGGCCTCCCCATGCATCACCGCCAGGCCCAGCCGCAGCCTCTCAGCATAGGACTGAGCTCTGGAACAAACACACAGAAAATGATTTAAATACATACAAGCAAACATAAATCACAATCACATCATTCACCATCTATCTTGCTGGAAAACTCCCAACCTTTATGTTACCTCTTGGCCGCCGAAGGGGACTTTGCAACGATAATGGCATTTCTGTAGTCTGGAATCTAGAAAGAGGGAGACAGTTTTTGGTAACAAATAAGCATTATCCAACATGATTTCACAGTTCAACACCACATTAAAACTAAACTCTAGTCAACAAATACATCTAGATAATGATTGAGATGATACAAGAGACTGAAGAGGATTCTGAGTAATGTAGTCTCACCTCCTCCTGGATGTACTGTAGCAGGAAGGGGGAGGCACGCAGGTTATCAACGGGGAAACTGAAGAAGCCCTGGATCTCCTTCTGGTGTAGGTCCATGGTGATGATGTGAGTTAGCCCTGTGAAAACACCAGTGGGTCAAGCAACACCCTAGCTAGCCCGGCTCGTGCGTATGTCCATGCGGCCATGATCATTAACCATCCCCACCAGACACGATCAAGACACGCAGGTTAAATACCAAAACCAACTGTTAATCAATTATATTAATTTTGGGGAAGGTCAAAACACACATGAAACGTTCATGGACATTTAGCTAGCTAGCTAGCTAGCTGTTGCTAGCTAGTTTGTCCTGGGAGATGAACATTGGGTTGTTATTTTACCTGACATGCATATGGTCCTCTTTTTAGCTGGTTCTTTGTATAATTTATGTCCCGGAGTCATACAAAATTGTGTTTCTCTACTCCGTCGATTAATCCACAGACAAAATGGGAAAACTAATTAGTTAATTAGTTTTTAGTTAGTTATCTTTGCTTAGTCTCTCTTGTTCGTCGTTGAAGCACCCACGTGGGTTTGTATCCTCATGAAAACCAAACAAAGTTATATTTTAGCGTTCGGCAACGCAGACGCTCGTTGACACGCGAGCAATGTGGATGAAATTGAATAACATGCATGTGTACATTTATTTTGCAATACTCGCGCATGTAACATGGCCAGTCTAGTCAGGGTGTTAGCTTTTGCATGGTGATACATATAAGCGTTCTCCTACTAAAATACCATATATGACCGTTCGCTTTTCTGCTAGCTGTACGTGGTGACTGAGTTGATGGACTTGTTATGGTGTAACGTTACCCAACCTGGTGTCAGAGCATTTAGTATGATATGTTACATTTCGTATGGTATGTATTAATTTGTGGATGTCCATCACCCATTTCGTATGATATGTTATAAATTACAATTTGTATTATATGTTACGAATTTGCGAAATGTACGTGTTACGAATTTCCAAACAGTAGTATGTTACGAATTTTCAAGACGTATGATACGGTTAAGGTTAGCTAAAAGGGTTAAGGTTAGGGAAAGGGTTAGCTAACATGCTAGTAGTTGCAAATGAGCTAAAGGTAGTAAGTAGTTGAAAAGTTGCTAATTAGCTCACATGCTAAAGTTGTCTGGGATGAGATTCGAACTCGCAATCTTTGGGTTGTTAGATGTTCGTCTTATAAGCCCACCCACCCTACTTAAATTTTTGCCTTAAGTAATCATCTGTCTTATGTAACCATTCCATACGTAACATATTATGCTTTTTTTGAGTGTCCCGGTATTACATTTACTATGTTACGTCTAGTCTATGAGACCAGGCTGCGTTACCTCACAGTACATTTTTTGTTTGTTTTTTAAGCCTCATTCCTAGAGGTCTATACAGGGTTGGCATCTTGCCAACAATATGTCAATGCTAATAGCTACGCGTAGAACTCCTACCATTTGTGTACAACTTAACTTAGCAGTGTTTTAAACTACCTTTCTACAACATCGTAACCTACTATGCAAAAACATCATTCTTGGTATCACAACAATGAGAAAAATCACATGATGCATACAGTAACAATATAGTATCATACCAGCTTTAGCAAGCATGGAGGCCAGCAGCTTGCAGACAATGGAGCCCCTCTTCCTCATCTTGCACTGCTTGCTGTAAGGGAAGTAGGGGATGACCCCTATGATGTTCTTGGCACAGTTAGTCTTGAGGGCGTAGGCCATGACCAGCAGCTCCATGATGGCCGTGTTCACATCTCTGGGTAGGACAAAATAACCATTCAAGAGGCAATGGAGACAGATTAATAGAGATAAGATAATGTAATAAGATAAAGTAGTTATTGTATATATTTCAGTAAACTGACGGGGTATAAAATTCAAGATGTCGGCGCATCTCAAGACCACATTAGCCCACAGAGCGTTTGCTCTGGGAGTTAACGCTCGTCTTTGTTGAAACACACTCACTACACATTTAAGTGAGTGAGTCTATGACGCTAGTCAGTATCCTACAATGTTAACTTACTTGACTACGTGCCCATTGTCCTGGCACTATCGCCGCATCGTAAGACAAGACGTTGGGCACCACCCTAATAGTCGTTCCCTAAACTCTGAAGTATAACCTTGAAAGCTTCAGGGCATTTCTAAATAATTAAGCCTCTCAAGATCGTATCGAAGAATGACTCCATTGTTGTATGGGAATCAGCCTGTTCATGCACACATGACTAAGTCGCTTGGATAAAAGCGTCTGCTAAATGGCATATTATTATTTATTATTAGAAGCAGAGGCAAACTTTGTTGGGGACTTGATGCACTTTTATTAACACTATAATTAGTAATTAGAAGTTTAGTAATTAGAATTAGAAGTTGTGGGTGGGGGGAATTACTCATAAATATTCGTTTTGGGGGTGGGTAAACATTTTAATACCTAATCCCAACACTTTTTCACTAAAGCATACTCTGATAATAAAATGATGTGCATTGTGAGCAAATACATCTCTGGACAGTTAGCTCACAGTGGTTAGTCACCAAGTGCCTGAAATATATTGCCACTTGCAGGGTAAATTGGAATCCACCTTGGGGTGCAATTTTTTATTTGTTTATGTGGACTCACATTTATTGCAGTACTGTGTTGGGAAGAACAATGCAATAATCACCTTAAAATTAAGATTAGGGGCTCAATTCAATCCAACCTGTACTGCATTATTTATGCAGTAGCTCTTTTTACAATTGTCAAATTAACTCACAGATTGGTCTTGGGTACCAGGGCCGGCCCGCTCATTAGGCAGGATTAGGCGCCCGCCTATGGTGGCAGATTGACTAGGGTAGGGCGGCATTTTCTGAGCTAAACTGACCAAGACTCAGCTCCAACACACACATGAAACCTCACATAATTAATTCTGCCCAAAAACAATGACATTTCTCTCAACCTGTGGTCAATGGGCTTTTAAGGTGAGCGCTGATGCTGACCTATGATAAGCAGTGCCCACTGTCACATTCCCAGTACGCCTCTCCAGAGTGCTGATGGAGAGACGCATCGCTGTGGCGTTCCACCAACATTCCATCAAAATGTTTTACATAAATCATGTAGCAGATATAGCACATGGTAGAAAGAGTATGTGGCCTTTTCTGTAACCTACAGGCTGGAGATAAAATGTATGACAATATAATGAGACTGACACTTTTTACATCATGCAGGTTTCTCCGATTTTTTTGTTGTTATTCTGTCTCTCACTGTTCAAATAAACCTACCATAAAAATTATAGACTGATTATGTCTTTGTCAGTGGGCAAACGTACAAAATCAGCAGGGGATCAAATACTTTTTTCCCACACCGTATACACAAATACATATATTTATCTTCTAAGACTTTAATTCGGGAGATGGTAACTCGTTAAACAACTTCTTCCGTGGTGCCCCAAATTCCTAATGAGTTAATTGTTACATGATTAATTTAATAGAGTAACAATTAAACATAGTTAATTGATTTGATAAATAACAGTCACAACAAAATATTGGCACACTCCACTTACCAAGACCATTGCCAAATAAGGCGTGCTGTCACCTGCTTTTATAGTGAGCCTTGAGGTGGTACCACACAGCACATCTAGAAGGGAGTGTATTTCATACCGAACCCCTCCCTTGAGATGGCGAAGAGGCACCTTCTCAAGGTGCCTTCTTGACATTACGATTTCAATGGTAGAGTTGAACCGCGAGGGGCAAAAAGAGCGAGATTTCCTACTAAAATACCTAAATATATCACTTTTGCAACGAACTGTCAAAATTAAGACCAGAATTGATGAGTTTCACTATAAATAAGCCTATTAAAATCTGGTTTTCAATTAGAAATAAATAAAAAGTTCAGGAAAGTTACTCTTTACAGCCAACACAAAGGTCAGTGCCCCCTTGCTGGCTGTTCATATTGCAATCTCACTTTACCAGGCAACTCCTGCCAACCAATGAATGACATAACCACTGGATGAAAATATGTAAAGTGGCGGACAGACACACAATGTCTGCCTAATTTCACAAGGGAATACTTTTACTTTCCTCTCATCTAGTTCTAATGAAGGTTGATGGATTTGGTTCTGTGGTGACACTGCATATCCAACCAACTAGAATATACACACACTCAATTCAGACGGTATAAAACACATGACACCCGGATCCGCTCACCTTGGAATGGTCTGAATGATAAAGATGTCTTGACCACGAACAGACTCTTTCACATCCACCCTTGTTTCTGTAAATAAAAAAAGCAGCAAATCAGTTCCAGGAGCAAGTAACCCCACAAAAGATGTCTGCAGCATTGAAGGTCCCCAAGAACAGTGGCCTCCATCATTCTTAAATAGAAGAAGTTTGGAATCACCAAGACTCTTCCTAGAACTGGCCGCCCAGCCAAACTGAGCAATCGGGGGAGAAGGGCCTTGGTCAGGGAGGTGACCAGGAACCCGATGGTGCTGACAGAGCTCCAGAGTTCCTCTGTGGAGATGGTTGTCCTTCAGCACTAAACCAATCAGGCCTTTATGGTAGAGTGGCCATACGGAAGCCACTCCTCAGTAAAAAGGCACGTTGACAGCCCGCTTGGAGTTTGCCAAACGGCACCTAAAGACTCTCAGACTATGAGAAACAAGATTCTCTGCTCTGATGAAACCAAGATTGAACTATTTGGCCTGAATGCCAAGCGTCAGGTCTGGAGGAAACAGGGCACCATCCCTACGGTGAAGCATGGTGGTGGCAGCATCATGCTGTGGGTATGTTTTTCAGCGGCAGGGAGACTAGTCAGGATCGAAGGAAGGATGACCGGAGCAAAGTACAGAGAGATCCTTAATGAAAACCTGCTCCAGAGCGCTCAGGACCAAAGGACAACGTCCCTAAGCACACATCAAAGACAACGCAGGAGTGGCTTTGGGACAAGTCTCTGAATGTCCTTGAGTGGCCCAGCCAGAGCCCAGACTTGAACCCGATCGAACATCTCTGGAGAGACCTGAAAATAGCTGTGCAGCGACGCTCCCCATCCAACCTGACAGAGCCTGAGAGGATCTGCAGAGAAAAATGGGAGAAACTCCCCAAATACAGGTGTGCCAACCTTGTAGAGTCATGCCCAAGAAGACTTGAGGCTGTAATCACTGCCAAAGGTGCTTCAACAAAGTACTGAGTAAAGGGTCTGAATACTTATGTAAATGAGATATTTCAGTTTTAGTTTTTTTATAAATTGGCAAAAATGTCTAAAAACCTGTTTTTGCTTTGCCATTATGGGGTATTGTGTGTACATTGATGATGAAAAAACAAACAATGTAATCAATTTTAGAATAAGGCTGTAACGTAACAAAATGTGGAAAAAGTCAAGGGGTTTGAATACCTTCCGAATGCACTGTATACCAGGGATATTCAACCAGAGCCTGCTGGTTTTCTGTTCTACCTGATCATTAATTGCACAAACCTGGTGTCCCAGGTCTAAATCAGTTCTTGATTAAAAGGGGAACAATGAAAAGATGCAGTGGAACTGGCTTCGAGGTCCAGAGTTGAGTTTGAGGGATCTATACTATAGTGCTATAGTAGGCCTATAGATTATATATACACTTAGTGTACAAAACATTAAATAACATCTGCTCTTTCCATGACAGACTGACCAGATGAAAGCTATGATCGCTTATTGATGTCACTTGTTAAATCCACTTCAAATCAGGGTAGATGAAGGGGAGACGACAGGTTAAAGAAGGATTTTTAAGCATTGAGACAATTGAGACATAGATTGTGTATGTGCGCCATTCAGAGGGTGAATGGGCAAGACAAAATATTTAAGTGCCTTTGAACAGGGTATGGTAGTGGTACCAGGTGCACCGGTTTGAGTGTGTCAAGAACAGCAACACTGCTGGGGTTTTCATGCTCAACAGTTTCCTGTGTGTATCAAGAATGGTCCAAAACCCAAAGGACATCCAGCCAACTTGACACAACTGTGGGAAACATTGGAGTCAACGTGGGCCAGCATCCCTGTGGAACGCTTTCGACACCTTGTAGAGTCCATGCCCAACGAATTGAGGCTGTTCTGAGGGCAAAAATGGGGGGGTGCAACTCAATGTGACTAGTTTCAGGAAAACTCCTGTCGCGCGTCACTACTTCACAGGAGAGGTATTTGAACGTAAACATATTTTTTTTGTTTTTTTGGCAGAAATTCCTTCTGGAAATTTCAGAACTTTCAAGTGCCTTAATAACAAACGTGTATGCCATCTGTAAATACGAATAAAATGGTTAAATTACGAGCCTAGTTGGTTTAGGCACGGAAAAAGACAGGAACCTCTCCGCTAGCCATGATTGGCTGAGATAATGGATGGGCTGGACATGAGTTTGGATTGGTCTGCCATGTAGCACACTTATTTCTATAGCATGAGCTGCTCAGTATGTGTTGGTAATCCTTTCGAACACAGCTTTTTCGAAAGATATCACAAGAACTGCAAAAGTGTTGCTAATGCTCTCCACTTTCTGGAGGACAGAGTTTTGAAATCTGTGGAATGCCCGGTGGAAGCAGAGTATGATAGCTAAGGAGATGGAGAAAATTCTGGCGTTTGATTGCAAATATGCGGAGGGAGTCAAAAAGAGAACACACAGAAGGCTATTGTATAAAACACCTGTCTCCGGGTTACATCTTCAAACTAAGGGCAACCATGGCATCCGTGACAGAGGGAGAAGCGTTCATCCATGTATACGGGTAAGACAGTCTAGCTAGCCCACATTTTCAGATA